CAAAAAAATAGCTGGGCATTGTGGCGGGCCCCTGTAGTCCCAGCTACTCAAGAGGCTGAGGCAAGAGAATTGCCTAAGCCCAGGAGTTGGAGGTTACCATGAGCAATGTGATGCCACAGCACTCGAGGGTGATAAAGTAAGACTCCGTCTCTACAAAAAAATAATAATAATAATAGCATAAAATAAAAAACAACAAAACCCATAAAACGTATAATCTAAAATCTTCTAAAGACAAAAGTTAAGTCACTTACTAAGGAACACAAACTAGATTGACATCAATTCTCAATAGCATCTACTTTTTGCAGGAAGAAAATACTATAATTTTTCAATGTGTTTTTTTCTTTTCTCCTCCTCCCCTTTTTTAAACTTTTTTCTTTTTGAGACATAATCTCACTCTGTCCCTCTGGGTAGAATGCTATGGCAACATCATAGCTCACAGCACCTCCAACTCCTGGGCTCAGGTAATCCTCTTGCCTCAGTCTCTGGAGAAGCTGGGACCACAGGCTCCTGCCACCATGCCTAGCTAGTTTTTCTATTTTTAGAAGAGAAGGAGTCTCACACTCTTGCTCAGGCTAGCGGGGAACTCCAGAACTCAGGATATCCACCTGCCTGGGCCTCCCAGAGTCCTAGGATTACAGGGGTGAGCCACTGTGCCAGACCTTTTTCAATATGTTGAAGGAAAAAAACTTTGATTCAAAAATTTTAATAAAAAGCAAAATGAACACATTCTCAGGCACACAAGTCTCAGGAGGTTTATCATACAAAGTCCCCTTTGAAAACACTTTTGGAGAAAGTTCTTCAGCAAAAAGTGAGATCCAAAAGAAAGTAACAACATATGGAAAGGACACATAAATAACTTAGTAAAGTGTATTACTGTTCAAAAGATGACAACCAAATGGCATATCTACAACTACCTAGAACTAAAACTAGATGATACTAAGAAGAGGGAGTACTGAGGGAAATGGCCATGTGCTAAAATACTTATCTAAAGGGGTGTTTATCAATAAACTTAAGGATTTTAGGGTAAACATAACGATGGATATAAGGGATTTTTAATAACTTAGATGCTTAATAAATTACTCTATCCTGACTTTGCATGTCAACTAATCTTGTCCATAATATCTTCTTTTTTTTTTTTTTTTTTTTGAGACAGAGTCTCCAGCTGTTGCACTGGGTAGACTGCTGTGGTATCATAGCTCACAGCAAACTCTAAATCTTGGGCTCAAGCGATCCTCTTGCCTCAGTTTTTCTATTTTTAGTAAAGACTAGGGTCTCACTCTTGCTCAGGCTGGTCTTGAACTCGTGAGCTCAAGGAATCCACCTGCCTAGGCCTCCCAGAGTGCTAGGATTACTGGTGTGAGCCACTGCACCTGGCCATAATATCTCACTCTTGTTTGATGTTTACTATGAATTCCTTTTCTTTCTTTCTTTTTCTTTTT